AATAGATGGACTATTATGGAAGACAGTAACATTGATAAGGAAAGAGGTTTTTATAACATTTTCAATTCTGAACATAATTTTGAGCTCTTGACCCCATTTTCATGTCCAGAAATGGGGTGTGGCTCTATATATTATGCTCGTGATGCTTGCTTTATTAGTCCTGTCACTACACCTGAAAGAAACAAAAAAGGAGACATGGCCAGAACCAACCCCACCCTAAATGAACACAGACTATACTTAAATCCTGTTGGGAACTTGAATTATGTAATCTGCACTTTATGTTTGGTTCAAAGAGTTTCAGTCTAACAGGAGAAGCAGCATTAAACAAAGCAATAGATAAACAAAATTAAATATTCTAGAATTGGTATAAATGAAACAAACACATCAACTTCATATTGTATAGGTCTTATTAAATATTCCCATAGTAACTTTTACTTAAATATACATGGAAGTGTATTTATTTTTAACAAAGGACACTTTTCTTCCTGTTAATATTACAGTTATATAGCTATGTAGTCCAGAAACAGAAAACACATACTCTTCCTTCTAACTCCCATAGCAAATTACTCACCAAGTCTTTTTTTCTTACATGTCTCAAATTTATTTTCATTTCCACATTTCCATTTTTACTACACCAGTTTAACATTTCTCATTTCTGACTTAGAATTTCAACCCTTTTCTCCATTTCTAAATCCACTTTTTTTTTTAGTTTCATCTTTCCACTTTTAAAGCAGTCCTTCTGAAAGATGAAATGATGATGATGATCCCTGGCTTAAAAGAGCCCAGGTTTATTATAATTTCACAACATTTACTACATGGAAGCCTTAATAAGCATTTTGTACATATACAGTACACATCAGCACAGTGAGATAATTTTGTGAAATTATGAGTTACACAAAATTAAACTTCTTTACTAAAGAATTTATCAATACTTTTATGTAACTATCCAGCCAGACATAGTATGTACCATTTTGAATTTGTTTAATTATTAGGTCTTGAAACATCTATTGGGACTGTTTAAACAAACAGTTTGGAAAATTTTAGCACTGCATAAAGTTTAAACTTTTAAGGATGATTTATAAGTTCTCCACAATTTGATCTTTGCCTATAGCTATAACCTTTCCTTTCTGCCAGTTTTTTCATCTACCTTATATATGTTTATACAACTTTGGACTATTTATGTGTATATAAATATACAGAACCATTTCATGTTCCTAGTCATATGTTCATAGCAACCCTTTTTAACCAATCTTTCTCAAGTAAGATTAATTGAGGTATTTTTTGGAATAATCCTTACTTTTACAAACATTGAAAAACCACTTTATTATTGCTTACCTCTCTTTCTCTCCAACAATATTCTCTTAATGATAGGGGCCATGTCTTATGCATTCCTGACACTTTACATAGTAGTGAACATATAATAAATTACACAAAAAATTTTCAGTTCAGTCGATATCCAACAATGCATATAGCTTGGGGAGATATAAGAAAGAATTTATGTCTTAGAACTTATGACCTAACGAGAGAACTAAACATATCCATACATTAAGCACATCAATAAACTCCTACTATGCTAAGCAGTTGACTAGTCCCTGGGAAATAAGTAGAAGATACCAGGTATTGATGTTATACTTACAGACTTTAAATCCAGTAATTAAAAACTAAAAAATGGGAAAAAGAGTTAAACATGTAGCAAGGACTACAACAGAGAGATACATCACGGGATCAATGAAAAGCTGTGCTGATTTTGTGAAACCAATTGACCTTATATTAATATCACAATATTCTTACTATAATTGGACATGGTACCCAGTCAACAATGAGCAGCATATCTCTCCATCCATAAGTAAGGTCTACTGCCATACATAATGGAGACAAGATCAGCAACATTATTTTCAAAATAAAGAATTTGTTTGTATGGCAACTAAAATATACATTCTTTATTCAATGTGCTTTTTTTATCCAATATCACCAGCTAGTCTAACATTAACATCATAAAACTGACCAGCTTTGGACTTAAACAATAATACAGAAGAATGAAAGTTTTACTCCTTACTCCTAAAAGTCCACTAAAGGTAAATACTCTAGTTATAAATACTCGTGTTTCCACTTATTTAGCTGAAATTTAACAGTGTAATTGACAAAGGATTCAATACATTCTTCCACTGTAATTGCCTATGGCTTTTATAAAAAGATAGGTAACCCTCTTTTTTCTGACATTTTTATATGTGGACTGTAGTGGCCTTACCATTGTAGTAATTTGCATGGTTGTGGTCTTAATTTGCAATTTTCTGTTTATTACACTTAGAACCTTCTTAGAAATCACTCTTTAAATTTTTCTTCAAAGTATATACTATTAGGCAGCAGAACACTTTACCAAAATAAATAATTCTAAATAAATAATTTCCAGATTTACGGAACATTTTTTTTCTCAAAGTGTCTTTTGTAAGGCTGATTTAGTGGTTCCCACTGAGAGCTGAAAAGAAAGAAGCATAGGGTAGAGATGGGAACCTATCCGAAGGAAATACATCCAAAGAAACTGACTGGGTGTGTCTCCTTATCTTTTAAATCCAATTTTAGATCCTCTCTTGGTTGTCCTGTGTGTGCTTGTACTACTGGGTGTGAATGAAAAAGTTGTGTGGCTTGAAATTTAAGTCTCGTTCCAGACTAGATTTTCCTGTCTGTGACCTTGTTTCACCATATCCAGTTCTTCATCTTTGATTTTTTTTTTTTTTTTTTTGGTTACCAGGGATCGAACTTGGGACCTTGCACTTGCGAGGAAGGTGCCAGAACCACTGAGCTAAATCCCCAGCCCTCCAGTTCTTGATCTTAGGTGTGTTACTTCTCCAGCTAGTACACTAGTTACTTCTACAAAATTGATCTAGTAATGGAATTTCCTTCATATAACTGCATTGATCAAATAAGTTTTTAAATATGTATTTTTTAGCAAAAACTGTTGTGCACAGAACCATGTCTCAATAACCATTAGCTTTTATATTACTATATTATTCTTTTAGTTCAGGTAATCAAAAGAAGTTGACTATGTCTTCCTTCCCACGGGTTCAGAGGAAAAATTAAATATGGAAAGGAGAATTTTTTAGAGCCTTGTTATGTTATTTCATTTCCTCATCTGGTATCTGATTTTGGTCTGGTTTTAGCAAAAACAAGAGCAGTCACTTGTAAAACAATTTTATCTGAATGTTCTAATTCAATAGCTGTGCAATTCCATCTTTGTCTGATTGTACCACATAGCAATAACTAAATCTATTAGGATAGTATCTGACAGGAAGAGGGGATTCATACTAGAAAAGTACCTTCCATGTGATACTTGGAGTAAAACCACAACGCCTGTGCCTGTGCTGTTGATGGAGGAATTCTCTGTGGTGTCTTTGAAATAGCCTCAGGTAGGTTTGTATGCATTCCACCTCTCTTCATTTTAGATCAAGTGATTTTCTTTTGCACTACTGGGACCTTAACTTCTCTGCAGTAAATGCCACCATACCAAGGCTGCACAGCTGGATTCTAACATGAAAAAGCATAATAAAAAGAAAGATTATGTATTTCCACTTTTTTTAAATCATACTACTTGTGGGAATTTTGAAGAATTTAATAATCACTTTCACTGTTACTCATATAAACATAAATTCAAAAGTCATTTTAATTTCATTTACTAACTTTGGAGTGCTTTACATTGTGGAACTTAATTCTAATTATCTTGTAAAATCATTTGTTTCCCATGAAACTATAATCTAGCACTGTGTGGTCTCATACTTGAAGCCATGAGTCACATGTGGTTATTTGTATTTAAACTTAAACCAATTGTTCATAATGAAATAGAATTCAGAATTCAGCTCTCTAGTCACAACAATCATATTTTAAGTGGTCAGTATCACATGTGGGTGATGGATACCATTTTGTACATGGTGGATTATAGAACATTTCTGTTATTGTAGAAAGCCCTACTAACCAGAAGGGAAATTATAGAACATAAAGAGCTGGAATTAGAGCACATATCTTATTCTTCTTTCAAGTGTACCAGCTTTTTACTACAAGAGCAATGATAGACTAATTGCTAAGACATTTGTTGATTGAACAAAACCAATCCTCAGCCTGGCTCATTAACTGGATCTGTAGCCATTTTCATTCTTCCAAGGAGTTCTCTTTATGACATTTACTAGATCAGTGCTGGCCTTCCCTCATAAACACCATGGAACTTTGAAGTTTCCTCACTGTGATCACCGTTTCATTTCGCTACTCCCTCCCCTGGCTTCTTCTTGCATTTGTCAGGTTCCTCCCTAATATATTTAATTATAAAAAATATTCTCATTATTCTTTTATGACTACCCCCATTCTTTTTTTTTTTAACATACTTTCTGGCTTTACTGTTCCCTATCGTTTTTGTTATTTTCCTAAAGAGACTTTTGCATCTCTACCTATTTTATTGTTTTAGGTACCCTGATATGTATAAATCTTACTTCTTAATCTCTAGACCACTCTAAATATGAGTTCTAATTTTATGTGGCCATTTCTCCCCTAGAAAAGACAGGTAAAACCCTGCTAGAACAATCCAATGTTTTTTTAAAGCATTGATCATTCAATGTTATACTTTTGTGATGAAAGTGAGTACTTGGTAACTAACATTCAGAACTTCCTCTCTCTCTCTCTCTCTCTCTCTCTCATCTTTCAGCATTCCAAAAAAGTTGATTTATGTCTAATACTCATTTCAACACTTCTTCAATGTTTCCTTAATGGCATGTAGTATTAGTTTTTCTTGCTTGCAACTAATCTTAACAGAAACAGAAATTGAAACCTTATCGGAATTTAAAAAGTGACAAAGTGTTAAAACATGAAGTTGTAGTTATGTGCAGAGTTGGGAAGTAGGAAATTTTTATTACACTGTAGCTATGTAGGTAGTTAAATTGTTCCATGACATATCTTGAGAGTCATAATGTTTTGGAATTGTTGGGGTTGTGAAGATTCCAGGTTCTTGGTATCCCGAACAAAGAATTGAGCAGGACACACAGCAGGAGAAATGAAAGCATAAAAGATCTGTATACTTCTCAGGGTGGGAGTAGGCCAGGGAGAAGAAAATGCTCATGGCACCAAAGAGTCTCTGTGTGGTTTTTACAAGGTGAGAGTAGTTCTTTGAACTGACTCAGGGAGTCACTCTAATCAATAGCATGTTGCCTCCTTTCTGTTGCAGGTGGGAATCTTTGTTCTGATTTAGAGTTTTGTGGAACTGCTGTGGGATCCAAAGCCTGTAGTTGGGGGTTGTAATCACAATGCAAATGAGAATATAATTAATTTGGGATTACCTTCCGATGTTCAAGTTATTTTGTAGTACTTGTTTCCCTATGTACGGTCTAGTAGTTAGAGCCTGATATTCCTTGTGGTTTTTAGAGAGCTGTCTTGTTACCCTCAGAAGTCTATAGCCCTGGTCTAGTTGTTTACACTGGAGTTCTCTGGTTTTAAAGAGCTGGGTTTTACTCTTTTATACTTTGCCCTTCATGGCCTACTCCAGGGACCTCTTCTCTGTTTCCTGCCTTAGGACTTTGTAGTGACTATAGAGGAGAACTCTTTTTCTTCATCATTCCTTGACCTGGCATTTTAACAGGCTTGGTTTCTGTTTGTGGATCTTGGCCTTCCTCCAGTTTGAGTAACACCTCATCCTTCCTTTGGGAGTAGAGCAAGTCGGCTATTGCTAAGTAGCCAGTGCCTCACATTTCAGGATATGGTTTACTTCAGGGCTGGGTACAACTGCAGTGAACACCGGGGCTTTCATTTGAGGCACTTTTCTGCATGATCTGCACATGTTACAATATAAAGCCAAAGATGCTGCTGACTTTTTGCTACTGTGTGGAAACTGATCTAAAGTCATGGAAAGGATAGCAAAGGATTTCTAAGTGATGCAAAGAAATCCAATGTTTATATCTCTTGAGCCCTTAAATCCATGAAGCCAGCAACATTGGAAACTTTTCTGATGCATGAAGAAATAAATTATATAGGCTTCGTAGATTTTTCCAACTAATGCCATAATTATAGCAAGTTTTAAAAGGTAATGACTGAAACATTTAATTATTTAGAAATTCACAATTTCAGAAACAGTAATTTTAAAAGTTCATTATATCAGTATATCTGACCAAATATTTCAGGTTTCCATTCTATATGTGATAGTTATTTCTGACATAAGAAGCCTCATTATCTATATATTCTTCTAGTGCCTTTGGTTCAGCTATATATATCCATAATCTTATTTACTTATTAAATGATATGAACTATATTTTTATAAATTGCATTGGAAACTTTTCACCAGATATTCCAGTTAAACCATAGCTTTGGAACAATGAATTTATTTACCTTCTCCACACTGATAGTGCTGTCCATGGGTGACTGGTTTCTGTTCAGCTCAAACAGGAGTGCTTTGTCCTCATTGAGGACTTGGTAAATTCTATCTCCTAAATGTAGGCACAAGTATCCCCAAATTTCACCTTGCCTTGTAAAGCCTCACCCAATCTATGCTCCCTTCATCCTGGGCAAATGACCTTTCTTCTTCTTCAGTGAGAATATTGGGGCCTGCAGTACTGATCTTGCTTCTATTACACCCTACATTTGATTTTATTTTTGTCGTACTTTCACTATGCAAAGATCAGAGTGTGAGCCAGAACTTCCTATATAAAATCCTGAGCCCACTTCCAGCCTTCTCCTCAACGTTGCTCTATTATGCACCTCCTCTCATAGATAATACACACACACACACACACACACACTTAACTTCTTCCTCTACACTCAAACCTCAGCCACCCCAGCTGTACACATGCTCTGCACACTCTCTACTCACCAAGAAGAGTACAGAGTTAGTAACAAAGGATGAGGTGAAAAGGGAGACTGGCAATCAGATCCTTTAAGGTCTACTTGTAAAATTTGGAACTACTTTGGGGGACAGAAAGCCTCTGAAAGGCCTCAAGGAGAAGCAGATGGGGGGATATAAGGATTTTGCTTGAAGACTCTGGTAACATATACTGATGGATTCTTTAAAAAGGTGTTAATCGTGAACCGAAAATGCATTTTGCCAGACTGGATGCTGGTGTTAACTGGGCTTTTTAAAACCATTGTATATATAGAAATCAATATAAAAATTTGGCTTAAGCATACTTCCTTTCAAACCATCTAAGGTTTCCAAGCAGTTAAGTGGAGGTGGCCCATCTGTCTTTTTTTAATCCAGCAGGTGATGGGCTAATACTTATGTGCTGGTGTAGAACATGGCTTGTGAGAAGATGGTTCTGCTCAGGTCACTGCTACTCACTGTTGCTCCAGGATATCCAACACCCTGGCTAGGTGCTAAATTGTTTTCAGGCTGCTGTGAGAGTCTAAGTTTCCCTTGCTTATAGTCATTCACTGAAAGGTATATTTCAATTGTCTCCTCATTCCTGCACTGGTGAGGAAGGCATGCCTGCCTGGGGAGTTATGTGGGGGACAGACCACATGGCATCCAACACTAGACAGGTGAGACCCATAGCAGTGCTTAGCCACATATACTTACAGCTTCAGGAGGTCACTAAATGCCTTGCAGGGGCACCCGGGTGTTACTTCGGAATGCAGTGACCCAGGAGAGTTGCAGGAGGCCTGCCTTGTAGTGTTAGGAGGGCAGTGACTTCTACTTCCTAGAGAACCAAGTGAGGCCTTTGTTTGAATAATTTGTCAAACTGGCAGCTTTTTCCTACTGTTTGTTACTCTTTTAACCAGGACATTCTGAGCACATATCCAATAGCCACTGAATCTGTAATTGAAAACAATGGAACAAGTTCATTTCACAATTTTTGTTTACAATAACTATCAGAATTAAGCTTATTATAGTACTACTTTAGGACACATGAAAATATGTTTATATAAATCTAAATCTCTCTAGCTTACTCTTTCTAGTAGTAGTATATAACTTTATCAGGAGCTATAAAACATTCATTACAGTTATATCATCCAAACTTTACAGGATTTTTACTTGCTAAAGAGTCAGTTATTTCCTCAGGTATTTATGTGTGAGGCAAGTTTCAAATTTCTTGCAATAATAGCTGATATGAGATCTTCCTGATTTTTATATTTCAATTTCAATATATTCTCCTGAAGAAGAAAGCAATATTTTGAGAGGCACATTTTTCTTACAGAATACAGAGGAATGACAGATAATATTCTTTAAGATGCTCTTTGTGACTATGGTTTTTTTTTTTTTTAGATTTCTCATTTCTGATTGTGTATATTTTAGTTTCTCAGAATATTAGACTAGTAAACTGACTCTTACTTATTTAAAATCTGAGCATCTGGTTTAAAAACTGCATGTAGAACAGTAGGCAGCATCACTAAAATATACTAAAATATACTAAAGTCCTAGTCATCAATAACTGTGAATGTGACCTTATTTAGTTGTAATTAAAGTGTAAGTGAAGATTTGATTATAGTAGATTAGGGTACATCCTTATTTCAGTAGGCCTGATGTCCTAATAAGAGGAGAAAACACACACACAGACACACACACATACATATACACTTGCACTCTCACACAATACTAAGTTTCTGCAGCAACAGGGATAAGAATAATGTGTCTATAGCCAAGGAATGTTAAGGATGGTCGGTGGCACTGAGAAAGACTTGGAACAGATTTTTCCAGAGAGAAAGTCAGAGACAGAGACACACAGACAGAGACAGACAGAGACACAGAGAGATGCAGAGAGGATAACTTTGCCATCACAATGATTTTAGCCTCTGCAGTCCACACTTTGGTAGAATGCGTTTCTCTTGTTTTAAACAACCTAATTTGTGGTACTTGGTGATATTGGTCCTAGGACCTGAATACACTCTCCTAACAACTGAAGATGTAGATCACCTTACATATACAAACATCCATATATAGCTGCTGAAAGAATTTTAAAACTTGAGTTTTAGAAACCATGAAGAAATCTGAACTACTTTCACAGAGATGGGTCCCGGGTTCTGAAATGCTTTCCCCAAATAGATGACTCTTCAGTGCCAGGTTTCTGTCATAAGAACTCCAGTTGCTTGCCAGATGCCCTTCTGACTCCTGTTATCACTGAAAAGTGACCACTTACTTTGCTCAGCTATCTCCTTGGAAGGTAGAGCAAAAACACACCTCTAAGATATTCCCCTTGACATTATCATGAAATCTAAATTACAAACCTACAGGGGCTGTGATTATGCTTGAGAGGGCAATTTTACTGCCATTGTACTGCCTTACAAGGCCTAAGTGGTTGGGTGAAATGTGAAAAATATGATTTATTGATGATGGAAGAGAGGCCAAAATTTCCCATGTTTTGTTACAAGCTTCCAATAAACAAAATATACTTGGCTCTTAGTATTCAGAGTATGTTTTTTTGTTTTGTTTTGTTTTTACCTGAATGCAACCTCACTGTTTCACTGCTGATTTGTTCTGATTTGTGCTGCATATCTTCTGTAGTACATTTTCAGTGTGTCATGTAAGCATAAAGCCTGTTTAAGCTCTCTTTGCATGGTGCTTCACGTGAAAATGAAAATTTCACAAGATACTTTTGGGTGTTGACAGATGTATAGCAGAGTGAGCAAGAGAAAATTCATGAAGTAAACTCAATCACACACTGTTTACAAGGATCAGGTTTGTTTCTTAAAGTTTCCATCTTACAATGTTCCTATAATTATTTAATTTTTGTATTTAATATCTGTTGCTATCTCATTTTGTCCAATATCTAGTTGTTTCTTTTTGTGTTTTTTGGTATCAGGGATCAAACTTGGGACCTTGCACTTGTGAGGCAGGCACTGGAACTACTGAGCTAAATCCCCTGCCTCTTTTTTTCTTTGTTTTTTGTTTTTTTGTTTTTTTGGTACAAGGGATCGAACTTGGGACCTTGAGAGATTGCTAGACAGGCACTGGAACCACTGAGCTAAATCCCTGGCCCTCTCTGTTTTGTTTTTTAAAGTCTCACTGATGTTTGGTAAATGTTTTAGATGTTTGAAATAAGAGGAGTTTCACTAAATTTTTTAAAAAAATATTATTAGTACATGTTTGTGGTACATAATGTTCACAGCCCTTGTGGGGAGCGGGTACATTTATATAATAAATCTTAATCCTTTCTTTCAACTCCTTTCCTTTCCCTTCCTCTCGCTCCACCCATCTCATGATCCCCTTTCTTTTCTTTTTCTTTTTTCTTTTCTGTGCATGGTTGCAGTACATAATGTTTACATTCCTTGTGTGGAGTTGATCATTGACATTTATCTTTATTTTCTGCATTCTTTCATAACTATTTTAAATTTATTTTATTATTTTACTAACTTTATTTACATTACTGACATTAATTTTTAACCATTCATCTTTGGGATAAAAACTGTAGTTAATAATATAGTTTCATTTCTCTGTTCAGTATTTTTTTGTGAATTTATTTTAAAATTTATTGCAAGGTTTTTAAAGTATTTTTTTAAATTTTTACAATATATATGGTATTTAAAAAGTTATCTTTAAAATTCCTCATAGCTTTTTTAATTTTAATTTTAATTTTATTTATACGTGGCCTGTATAGCAGCAGTTTACTGGATGAACATATATTTTACTGACTATTGTATTTGCATTTCTTTGAAACTTTTCATTGGAACTTTCTATTTTTTCTACTTTTTTTCTTCCTTTTAACTTTTCTTCATAATTTGGATAGAAAATATATTTGTTTCAACATAATTATTTATATATGTGCTGTTTTAAACTATAAGTGGTTAATTAAAACTATAAACCTGTATATGTAGTTTCACCATCAATTCAAAGATATTATTTTACCAAGTTTGGCTAATATTTTTATTTTTATAAATTTCATTTCATTATTACATTAATTTCAGAAGATATGACCTCTTTTCTTTGAATTCTTGAAAATTTACTCTTTACTTTGGTATTTATAATTTCAGTAAAAAATATAACAGTGGACATATCTGTATTTCTCTTGGCATGCCTTGGTATTTTCTGTATATTTGGACATATATTTTTGTTTATTTCTAAGTAAAGAAATTTATTTTTCTTTATACCATTTATTATCTTTCCTAATAATTCCTTCCCTCCATTCTCCCCTGGATGTCTCCTGTTACACTTCTATTAGACATTCTTTTTCTATTTTTTGAGTCTCTTAAACACATTCATATAAGTTATATTTTTACTTCTAGATACTTTTTATCATCCCATGGTTCATCCAATATCAATCATTTCAACTACCTCTCAACTGAAGGAAAAATATTTATTAATTAATTGCTTTTTATAAAATATATATGGTGTAAGATTTTTATATACACCTATTTTAGGTATACAAACATATAGCAAGAATACATATGTTTTAGATATGTTTGATTTGTATTAAAATGTTTCTGACCATTTTTTATATTGCTTTGTTATTTAATTTTGTAGTTTCAATGTTTATGCCTTTCAACATTTTATTTCTTTGATTATTCTAATACCTGACATGATTATTAGTCTAACTGCTCTTGTTTTTGTTATAGTTCTGTCAACAGTAGCTCTTAATGTCTTGTTTAATCTGTTCATTGATAATACTTTTATATTGAGTACACTAAGATCAATTTCATCCAGGAAATCCTAGAATATAGTCATTGAGTTCGAAATTCAAAGGAGATAATATTTTCTTTAAGGTGAACATACCGCTGAATTCGGTTCACTTATATTTATTCACCTCTGAACTTTTTAGCTATAGTATAAAGTATTCTTGAAATTGAAGCCCGGATCCAGATCATCTCAGTCTCATGATTTCAAATTATTAGAAAAACCTATAATTGTTTTTGTTTTTATTAACATTATTTTCATTACTACATTATTATGACTGTTCTTTCTCTAGGGCTGAGGAAGAGACAGATCCATGTGTAGATTCTCACATAAGGAGATACATGAGTCTCCAGCTACCTTTCCATTAAGTGGTTTCTTATTTTCTTTACAGGATGCATCGTGGTATTCTTTGCACCTCTCCTTTATGGAATATCTCCTTTACTCCCCTTCTCCCTCCTCTTGCTATTTCTTAGTTTTTGGCATTGGCATTTCCATTAAGGAAGTACAGTTTTACTCTAAGTTCTTTATATATTTACATTTTATTTCACTTTTTTACCTCTTTAATCTGCAGCCTTTTTAAAGTGAGAAATGTATTTAAGTACATATCCCAATGTACTGATTACATTTTTTTTTATTAAATTCTTTTATTGGTACATTGTAGTTCTACAACACAATTACATTTCTTATTGGGAATTGTACCTTTACATAACGCATCTTGGTTCTTACTTTTTCCCCATTCCTAGCCCTGCCTTCACCCCCTCCACCCTTCCCTATTTACAAAGACTTTATTTCCATTTTTTCCATTTCTCATCATTTTT